CTCTGATGGTTCTCAAATTGCATGAGGTATGTTCTCAGTGAGTCGCCAGGTAGAGGCAAGTGGTGTTTACTAGATTGATACAGGTTCAAACTCGGTGCCAGTGCTGGGTCTGAGACCACTCAGCACATATCCCAGGATATACTGAGTGTAGCTGCCACACTCTGAGTGTTCACACACCTTTTTGGTGGGGTGGGTGTCTCAAGAAGTCTTCAGGGTGAAGCCAGCAGAGTTTATCAGGCCCAAACAGACCAAGATTTGGCCATGAGAAGGGATAGCTCTGTACAAGTTGGGTGTGTAAGGGCAATATTCCCATCCTTAGAGCCACATAACTCAGTCTGTCTGATTCTGCCTGGAGCCCCAACTCAGCAGGACTTGACTACTAGGAAGGAGACTGGAGGATGGGGCTGGTAGATCTCCCACAAGGAAGAGGTGCTGGTCAGGCTTGGGGAAGTTTGGGGGGAGTAGCCAATGCCCAAGAACCAATAACTCAGTGTGTCTCAGATTCTGCCCAGACCTCAGCCATGTGGAACCACCAGGAATTGGGGCCTCTGGGAACCCATAGAATGGGACTAGTGGATCTCCTGTGAGGGGTGGATGCCAATCATGTTTACAGAAACATGAGAAAAATGGCCACCACCCCAAAGCTACAAAACTCAGTCACTGACACACTGAGTCTGGCCAGACCTCTACATCCAGGCCCAGGCAGCTGACTTCTCAGCAAGGCAGAAGTGCTGCAAGGTGAGGCTAAAGGGAGTACAGAGGGCTGAGTTACTGTATCTCCCCAGGCTGATGTGCAAGGAGGGGAGTGCTCCACCCAAGAAAGATGGTGTCTACAGTGTGGAACACAGATCCTGGTAGCTGTTCCTTCAGCTATCTCCCCATAGCCACAAACCCCAGTGTCTCCTCATGCAGCTTTATTCCACTATACACTCCCTGAAAAGGAGCCCAGAGTGAGTGGCTGCAAACAAGATTTTGTGCACTGGCCTTTTAAGAGAGCACATGTGTCTCTAGCAGTCTCTTGACTCTCCCAGTTGGGCAGAATACCTGCTGATTTTCATGGCCAGATATGTTTTGGGTGCATTTTTCCTGGTTCTGGTGCTTTGGGCTAGGGAGACTTGCTTGGATTTGAGACCTCACTCTTCTCAGGGGAACCTTTGCCAATGAGATATCCCTCTGGAACCTCAGTTGCCACCTCTGGGAGCAGAGTCAGCCCTTTTCGTATCTTAGCCCTTCCTACCAGTCTTGATGTGGCTTGGTTATAAGACTTCTCTTCAGGTAGTTTTCAGTTGGTTATTCAGGTTGACTGCTCTCAATTTTAGTGGTAATTCTAGTTTGGTCCTGGGAGGTGGTGAGTGTAGCTTCCACTTAACCTGCTGCCATTTTGGAACCGCCTCAAGCTGGGACACCTTAAATATTGTGATATTGGGTTTCCTCCATAAGTTTATTCAAATTTTGATTAAATTAAAGAGGATGCAGTTGTGTGTGTGTGTGTGTGTGTGTGAGAGAGAGAGAGAGAGAGAGAGAGAATGAGAGTGTGTGAGAGAGATACAGATCTCAAAGCTAGAGGACCTAAAATGAAATACTAAGGGTTCAGATTTCATCCTGTAGGCAACAGGGAACCATTGAAGAACTTAAAGAAGGGTAATGACATATTGGGATTTTGTTGTAAGAAGAGCCCTTCAGCAGCAATAGAGAGTGTGGATTGTGAGGTGTGAAGGAGCAGGTGGGAAGATGAATTGGGAAGAAAATTTAATAAGCCTGATGGCTTCAACTAAGGTAATGCCAGTGGTACTAAGTAATAAGAGAGAACAATATAAAAAGTAAGATTTAGTTATTATTTAGAAGTGAGGGTGAGAAAGAGGAAACATAAAAACTAATCATGACTTCCTGGTTTCTAACTTGTAAAGCCAGATGGATGGTGGTGCTTCCAAATAAAATGAAGAATATTCATCAGGAAAAATTAAAGATACTCACTCTGATGGCCACACTTTTCAGAAGAAACTAGGAGGCAGGGGCATCTTCTGAGAGAAAAGAGAAGAGGATTTATTTAGGAGAGTTGTAGAGAATAGAAGTTTGGAAAACTCACTGAGAATGGAAAAGGAAGCTGGACAAAAAAGAGCCAAAGTGACTGAGCAGTGTAAAGGTCCTAGGAGAGGCAGGTGAGCATGAATTTGTAGTGAAATCAATCTGCACGATTGAGTAAATTTGTAGTGACATCAATATGCACTGCTATATGATTTGCTTTTTTTTCCAAACAATGCTCAACTATCTAGGTATATCAGTAGAGGCATGGACTATTGGATCAATCTAGAGTTGCAAGTTTAAAAATCAGTTGCAGTGAAATTCAAGAGCACGAAGGAGATGAAAGTACTGTGAGAAAGTTTTAGGGCATAGCCTGGTAAGTGTGGCTCAGTTGGTTGGGTATCATTCCATGCACTGAAAGGTTGCCAGTTCAACTTCTGGTCAGGGCATATGCCTCGGTTGTGGGCTCAATCCCTGGTGCGGGGCATGCAGGAGGCGGTCGATCAAGGTTTCTCTCTCATCAATGTTTCTATCTCTCTCTCCCCCTTCCTCTCTCTCTTAAAAAAAATCAATAAAAACATATTTTCTTAGCCGTGGCTGGTTTGGCTCAGTGATTAGAGCATTACCCTAAGGACCAAAGAGTTGCAGGTTCAAGTCAGGTCAAGGTCACGTACCTCAGTTGCGGTTCATTCCCAGCCCTGGTCAGGGTCTTGCGGGAGGCAAATGGTCGATGTGTCCCTCTCACATCGATATTTCTTTCTCTTTCACTCTCTCCCTCCCTCCAACTCTATCTGAAGATAAATAGAAAAATATCCTCGGGTAAGGATTAAAAATAATAATAATAAATATATATATTTTTAAAGTTTTAGGGCATCAACCATAGTGTTAGAATCAATAAGGAAAGGAGACCAGGAGAGGAGAGGATAGTCTTAGGGAAGGAAGGTTTAAAAGCTACAGGTGTCAAGGAAATTAGATTGTAGTTTAATGAGAATATGAGAGTAAGAGATCTAGAAGAACACAGGTACTGAGATTAAATTTTCCTAAGTGGAGAAATTCTAGATCTTTGCTATCTAATATGGAGGCCACTAGATATCTGGCTATTTAAATGAATTGAGTAAATGAGGACTCTATTTCATAATTATAAACCAAAATAAGCCCAGTCCCTCTTCTCCTGTCACCAATGCTAATCCCTCTGAACTTTGTTCGTTCTTGTTAATATCTTCACTTTTACTCCTATTTGTCTTTAAGAACTAGGAAATAGCTGTTTCTTATTTTTCAACAGGCTATCGTTTTTAATCTCTGTTGATTCTGCTAGGCTGTACAGTTATTTGTGTAACAGACTCTTCCAACAGCAATATGCAGCAGAAAATTCCTTTTGACAAGTCATAGCGAGCTTAATCGAGTCATGATGTACTCCAGCACGGAGCTTGCAGTGAGGCAAGCAGTCCTTTTCCTAAGGTAGCATATGCTTTCACACAATTTCAACATGACTACATGATCTCACATGACTGAGGAAATTACTTCATTTATGAAAAGTTACAGAAAGGTATGGAGTTAATATTTGACTGAGCTAATTAACTTTTATTTTATTTATCAATTTTTTATTTATTGATTTTAGAGACAGAGGACAGGAGAGGGAGAGCTAGAAACATAGATGAGAGAGAACATCAACTGGCTGCCTCCTGCATGTCCCCCACTGGAGATCGGGCCCACAACCTGGGCATGTGCCCTGACCAGGAATCGAACTGGCGACCTCTTGGTGCATTGGTTGACGCTCAACCACTGAGCCACACCGGCTGGGCTGATTGAGCTAATTAACTTTTAAATAGGTATACACTCTTCCAGGCTTTCTTCCTCCCTAGATTTGGTGAAATCTATTTCTTAAAAACCTTAGCACTGAATTACAGGTCAATTAAAAAAAAATTTTTTTTTACTCTATTGTTTAAGCATTCCCTAATGAGAATCCCAAATCAATTCTTTTTCATTTAATTTAATTTATTTATTTATATAGTTTATTTCCTCCTTCACAAACACACAAGCCTTCTGACCATCATCCAAGGTGCCACAAATTAAATAAAAACATATATTTGAGTACCTTTGTCTTACATGATTCAAGATCAAGTGGATTTTAAAGCAAAGGGGTGCCAAATGCTGGGGGTCGGAGGGGACTGGGGCAGGTACCAGGAAGGGGCATGCATTTTTCTAGTGTTTATTGCAATGGGCGTGACGAGCCCAGGTGCAGCCGGCAAGCAGTTATTCGAAGTCAGCACGTCCAGAAGAGGCCCTGTGTCTCATGGTCTCTCTTTCTAGACAATAAAATGCCAAGAGGACTTCCCTAAAGTACAAAGCCTTCTCACTAGTCTTGGTACCAGTAACAGAATATGCTTATTAAATATCTTCAATGTGCTTTTCATTACAAAAAGAAAAGAAAAAAGAAACACGTTTCATATAAAAGCTTTATAATATAACCCAGAGGCAGAGTCAGTGCACGTTTAAAATAGGAAGCTGGGCTGGGTTGGCTACTTTGACCATGTTTTCATTGCTTCCCCTGCTTTTTACTTGTCTAAACACACACCCAGTGTCTTACCAGGTTAAATGCACATGAGACAGTTGGCTCTGAGCACCATGATTGCCTTCCAGTAGCCTCTTGGGGACTAAAATCCTAATCCAAGGAGAAAAGCTCTAATTTCTATTGATTTGCTCTTTCTCCCAAATCATGAGTGTTGACCAAATCCCAGCAAGTGTCAGGTACAAATGAAGAAGGTCTGTGAGCTGAGGCCCAGAGTAATTATGAATAATTTTACAATGATCTGGTTAAAAAAACACAAAGGAAAGGAATGATTTTTCTTATAAAAAAGCCTGGACTTGAATTTAAACAAGAGATAGATGTGAAAGGAATGAACTATTGCTTCGATCGGAGATGGGGTGTGCTTTCCTCTTGTGACAACAAAGCTGGAGCAGCCTCCAAGGCTGGCCCCCTAGGGGCCGCCACTGGTAACCTTCCAGGTAGATGCTGATGGCTTCAAGAGAGGTAGATAGAGTCCAAATTTGTTTTCAATCCCTGCAACGGTTGCAACAGCCAGTCTGTAGCCCCCACGTGGTCAAGATTGGGGCAGGCAGTGTGATCCGAGACTTAGGAACAGGCTCTGATCCAGCAGGTTTCACTCCTCCAGAAGCAATGCAGAACCAGCGCTGCAGCAATTCATACGTCAGCAAAGTTACACCAAACTGCAGCGAAGAGCGAAGCACATGGGCGCCAGCTCCTTTCCACAAAGCTTTTGGGCCTTCTTCCTGCAGTATCTTCCGAAGCAGTCCATCACTCCGCTGTAAGTGGTTTGGCCGGCCCTGGCGGCCACCTGCAATCGAGTCTTGATAACATCAGCAGGGGTCACCAAAGATGCTGCCGGCATACCAGCTATGGCGCCAGCTAAGAGCAGGCTCACAGGGCTCACCTGCCTATCTTGGCTTGCAAAGGAAGCCTTCACGTGGGCATAGCACGGGAAGTAGATGGCCGAGAAAAGAATGTCCCACAGAAAGCACGCTTTGGCACCCTTGTAGATCCCAAAGAACCCCAGGTCCCTTACGACAGACAGAGCACTGACTCGAGGACCCGTGGTGATTTCCCCAGCCACTTGCAAACGGAGCTTAACGATTTCCAAAGGATTTGTGAAAATCACCTGGGAAACTCCTGCACAGCCTCCAGCAAGAATCTCTGCGGCAAGTGGGACCGAACCATCTCTGTGCATGAATTTATCCCTCACAAAGTCATTCACTATAAGTTTTATGGCCTTTTCTGGGGCAACTCCCAATAACTGTGGCAACAGACCTCTATATAGTCCAAAGAAGCCTTCATAGCGTAGCACTTTCTTAAAACAGTCAAAGCTGTTTTTATACATAAGTTCTCCCATGAAAGAGCCAGTTGATCGCTGGTTCTGCATTCGAGTTTTGACAAGATCAATAGGATACACGGCAGTGGCTCCCACAGCTCCAACAACTGAACCCAGACCAAATCTGTAGGCCGACTCTACAACCTGTAGAACTGGACGAGACGAATCGATGGAGGCCTTCTTCTGCCTCTGGGCCTCAGCCAACTTGAAGGGCAGAGTCCCCTCTTCCAGAGGGACAATTCGTTCAATGTCTGCTAAGGTCATACGTCCCCATGGCTTGTATAAATCTGCTGAAACAAGATGTCAACTTCCATTGGTGTAACCTGACCAAATTTCTGAGCTGCCAGAACAAACAACTCCTTAGTCACCTCTACATCTTTCCTGTTGCCGGCCAAAGTGCTGTAGATCTTTCTAATGAGTTCCATGTTGTTAAGGAGCGAATTAAACCCATTAAAATAGGAGAAACTGACTTGATGGGATGTGGTACCTCCAGCAGTAGCTACTAGACATTCTTCTACAAAAGGTGTCAGGACATGGGAGGCAGGTGGTGACCATGATGTCTTGGAAGTCAATGGCTGTCACTTTTCCGGTCCTGGCATTGTCTCTTTGCACAAAGGCTTGCTTTGCATGCTCCAGCTGTATTTCCAGCAAAAACTGAGTGAACTCCGCGTATGTCAGGTGCCTCTTTCTTTCTTTGCCAAAATGTAGTTGCACGAATTCTGAATCCCAGTTAAATGGAATACATCGATGAATTGTAGTCTGTCCAAAGACTTGCTTAACGTCCTCAAACGTGACTTCTCCTTTGCCAGCCTTGTCAAACAGCTGGAAGGCCACCATGAACAAAGCATCCGGGGCACACAGGACAGACTCAAACACTGCAAATTCTTGAAAGGATATTAATCCATCTTTGGTTTGATCCACCACACCACTTACAAGTTCCACAGTCTTTGGATTAGGCTGGCTTTCTCCAAAAATGTTCAAGTATCGAGTGACAAAGTCACTGGGATACATGAAAAATTCACCATTTTTTTTTTTATTCTTGCATACTTCAAAAATACTGTTCTAAGCTCAGCTGGATCTGCTCTCTTGGTTAAAGCCACCTTGGTGGCCGCCATGCTTCGCATGCGTGCGAGTGACTCTTCATTTTATTTTAAATGTCACACAATAGCCCTGGCCAGTTTGGCTCAGCGGTTGGAGCGTCGGCCTGCAGACCAGAGAGTTCCGGGTTTGGTTCCTGCTAGGGGCACATACCAAAAATAAATAAAATAAAATAAATGTCACACAATAAGTAATATTAATAGAAACTATTCTATCAAGATAGTATTTTTAAATTAAATTTATTGAGGTAACATTGGTTAATAACATTATATAAATTTCAGGTGTCCAAGAAATGTAAACTGGTGCAGCCACTATGGAAAGCAGTATGGAGGTTCCTTTAAAAATTAAAAATATAACTTCCATATGATCAGCAATTCCGCTTCTGGGTATTTACCCCCAAAATATAAAAACATTATTTGTAAAAACAGTATTTCTGTTTCACTCCCAATGACTTTGCAGCCATTTCAAATTATAACATTACTTTTAATGTGTTCAGGACAGATGCTCTTCGGGCTTTCAGAATGAACAGCAGATTATCAGCAGATACTAGTTAACTTATGAACCTTCATCTGGATATCCCTCTGACACCCAAGGGACCCGGGTAATATTGTAGCTCTACTGTCAGCCTGATGAGCAGCATCAGTAACGGCATCATCCTTTCTTCTCTCCACAACGCGGCAATAAGGCAAGGAAAGGGAGACTATAAACCATTGATTTGAACCACACAAATGGGTTGAAAATAAGTTGTGCTGTTATATTTGTCCCCAAAGCCAAATTTACCTAGCACATAATACAAGTAGCCCATTCAATTGCATCAAAAGACTTCCCGGTATCTAATAAAAGTGTTGCTATTGGTTCCAATTTTCTCTTTGTATTCCAGATAAGTAGCATTAGCCTATGCAGATTATCTGATGCTTATCTCCCAAGATACAGCCTAGTTGGATCCGGGCCTATTAAATTTGTGATTACTTTATTTAGTCATGTAGTAAGTGTTCTGGTCTCTATTATTTTATGCCTACTCACAGTGTATAAAAGGATATTTTCCACAATACTGCTAAGGGGGTAACATGCAATCTTGAGCATAAGGCTATATGGATATATGTAATTGGATAAAGGATGGTAGACTGCCTTGATTCCAAACCACAGATAATATCTGACGCTTTAAAAATTCAGTACACACCATTTAAATGCATTACATTTATTCACAGTCTATTTCTGAAACTAGTGGCTGCACATTGTGCTGATGGCAGAGAGAAGTTAATGTGTTGGTAAGCAACCTAAATTTTTATAAAGCTATTTTGAAAGTATCTCATTGCCACAGAAAGTAATGTCAATTACTCCTTGCTTTTCAATTGACATTGCAAGGCGGCTCCAAATTTCTATTCTTTAGTTCAGCATCTGCAAAGAAAAGGAAGGCACAGAATACCTCCTTGGATATTTTCGGGTATGACGATCACAAGAAGCACTTCTTTAGAACACACCTGAAATATTTCAAAGGTTTTTCACCACAAATATTGACTAACCCTGGATGTCCTGGGCATAGGGAATTAATTGCATTAGAAAACAGCAATGGAGAATATGGGTAAAGCCAGTTGATAATCTGCAGGGTCTCTATAATCTGGATCCTGTGAGAGAGCACAGTGTAGGCAGAAGGGCCTGGCCCCTGGAGCTCGTTTTAACCTTGGATCCCCTTTACAACCATGGCAAGCTACAAACAGCACTGAGCTCGGGTTTTCTCATTCACAAAAAGTGGTTACAATACTCACTCCTGAAATTGTTTAAAAGATTATATATGTATACATATATATGTATATATATCTTAATCAAATATTTGATGCTCAATAAATGTCAGCTGTTTCATTATAATTATTGTTAATAATAAAGTGAAATACACACACAAATAAGTTTTACACTTTTTCAGTAATCACAGGAACGTCTAATCCAATGGCACTCTCAATACTCAGAATAGACTTCATGGTGTTGTGCTGGGAAAATGATGACATTCAACAAAGTGCACTGTGAAAATTTACTTTGTGATTAACCTACTCAGAATGAATGTGCTTTTTAAACCTATAGTATCTGAAGCCAGGATTTCAAATTTAAAAAAACTAATAAGCACACGTACATATACACAGTATCTTTTCATTATCATTATTCTTCTGTATTAACCTAGTATATCTGATTGAGTCTAAGAGATACAGCTTTTCTTTAAACATATTGATTAGATATAAAGAAAAAAAAAGGTCGTGTTCACTTCGGCAGCACATAGACTGAAATTGAACAATATAGAGAAGTTAGCATGGCCCCTGCTCAAGGATGACATGCAAATTCATGAAGTGATTTCATGAAAAAAAATATATATAGAATACTCTTCACAGAACTTCCCAGTTACAGGAACCCAGTTATACATGCTTGCAAAAAAAAAAAAAAAAAAAAAAGTTAATGTCTGCAGTTTACATGCACAGAATATACAATTCGAAAGGATTCAACTTCAGCAGAATTTTGTATTTATATAGTCAGAGTTTATTTATTTATTTTTAAAAACTAATTTCCAAATAGACACAATCTTTTGAAGTATGCTGCATACTTTTTTTAACAGTTGGAAAAAGATATTTGGACTCTAAGTGAAGCAATTTCTAGAGAAAACACGTGATCTAAACTTGAAACTAAAACCCTAAGTACATATACAGAAATGTGCACAATATTCCCAAGATATATGTAAACAGACAGAGCCACTCAGTAAATGTGTTGGGTTTTGGTAACAGGATAATCCACTCTCATCAGGCATCTCCCTCTGGTGCATTAATATGTGACATCATGTTCTCATATAACATTTCATAACAGAATGAACTAAAAAGCCCCTCCAGATTGCAACTGTAAGATAATCAGATTCTGTAGTGCTCATTATAACTGCAATTATGTAACAAAACTCCAAATATAGTTCAGTGATTGCAGTTATTAATCATCTTGGTTTTGTTTCAAGTACTTGCTTTATAGTGTGCTGGATAGACTCCATTATTCTACAAGCTGAATGCCGAAAGTCAAACATGCGCATGTGAATTTGCTGTTCTCATGGCCTTTCAACATAATTTACCCTTTCGGTTTGTATGTGTGAATACAGAAAACTGGGAGAAATAAAGCTGGTGTCAATAGAGTCACTGACCTTTGCAGTAAACAGGAGACAGTTCTTAACAAAAAAACAACTTAGCAAATAAGAAACTTACTTTGCTAGAACTAGAAATAGTATTGCTTAAGAAGTTAGTCTCAGAATACCAATCAGTTCTTACAGAAAAAGGAGGAGGAAAACTGAAAGAATCTGTATATTTGGTAAGAACAAAAATTAAAAGAGGGCCAACAAATGTGCATTTTTAAAAGTTCAAAATACCAACATCATGGATAGGATGTATTTCTAAACATCTTATGCACAAAACCACGTAGATTAATTTAACTGCAAAATGCCAAGTAAAAGACAGGAGATTTATTATACAGAACAAACACCATCTGCACCACCTTAAATCATTGCTGTAGATATCTTTCTAGGGAAAATATACACCTGGAAAATCTCAAGATCAAACCCTGAGATGCTAGAGCAGTAACTAAATAGGATTACAAAACAGACCCAGGGAAACTGAGTCCATAATTATTTAAATGTTCACATGTAGAGAGTCCAGAAAAACAAATACAATAGTACACTGATAAGGGTTCCAAAATTCACACCACTCATTTCATATAGTCCATGATTTTTTCAATTTGGCTACATACATTGGGCCCCAGGCTTTGCCCTTTTCTGGAATCACCAGGAGTCCACATTCCTGGCCGGTGGGAGCAAATGTGAAGTCCTGGGAGCAAGTCATTGCCATTTCCTTCATGTCCACAGGCATGATGTTACTGCAGGAATTTAAAATGTCCCTGACCACATCCTGATTTTCAGCCTTGGAAAGGGTGCACGTAGAGTACACAAGCAACCCTCCAGGACGTAGCGCCTTAATCGCAGACCTGTGTGCAATCAGGAAAATGCATTAGATTGGTTAGGCACATTAAAAACAAGCCATGGGGTCTGAGGGCAAGGGAGCTTACACGCTTGAAACTAACCTTTACTCTGGCTCAGACCGCAATAACTTTTCATGTTTTCTAGCCTTACAGCTATTTCTTTCTAAGGTATCCCCAGATGACTAGGAAAATGGTAATCACTCCAATAAACAGGGAAAGGCAGAGAGTGTAGTTGCCTGGTTTGCTGTTTGGTCTTTTAAGGACAGGAGGATGGGGATAGAACATGAAGTAATGGGTTAGTGTTGGACATACTGGGTGGAGCATATGAACAGGTGGAATGAAGCAGCTGAACTTCGGGAAAGCGGTTACGGCTCAGTAACAGCTGAAGTCATGGGAATAAGAAGGATTTCCCTGGAAAAGAGCAAGGAAAAAAAAGTGGACTAAAGACATACACTCAGAGAATGCTTATATTTAAAGGGAGGCAGAAATTTAAAAAGAAATTAAGAAGGCTTCACCAAATGAGAGTGTAGCTGCGGGGAGATGGTGGGAAGGAAGGTTTATTGTCTGTTTTGTTGTCTGTGTGAAAGGGAAGCCTTCACTTACACTTGTAAGTGCAGGTCCCAAAGGGCAGTCCCAGGCTTCAGACTGCAAATGGAGAAATTCGCTTTTGAAAAGATGGGGTTCAGCCCGGCCGGTGTGGCTCAGTGGTTGAGTGTCGACCCATGCACCAAGAGGTCACCAGTTTGATCCCTGGTCAGGGCACATGCCCAGGTTGTGGGCCCGATCCCCAGTAGGGGGCATGCAGGAGGCGGCCAATCGATTTTATCTCTCAATTTTTCTATCTCTTTCTCCCTCTCCATTCCTCTCTCTCTAAAATGGATAAAGAAAAAAATTTTTTTAAAGAAAAGATGAGGTTCAGCTCTTCATGGGAAACAGGATGGGAGCATGAACAGGGCACCAGGCTGTTTTAAGGTAAATGAACTGCACGATAGATAGCCTTGATAAGGAGAGCAGGAGGTGAGATCATCTACTGAGACATGAAACTAGAAAAGTTTTAGTCCTGCTGCTGTGGTGACAGCCCCAGAGCAACCAATCCAGCAGAGGCTGTGGAGCATGACTTAAGAAGTCAGCCCCATGTCTCACATCTATATTTAAACAGCTAGAACTATCTCAGGAACAGGTTCATAATAAAGATCTCCACGGCAAACGGAGAGGTGCAGATGTGATTAAATCAAGCTTCTTGCAATGGAAATATTATTCTGCATTATGTGAGTGGGCTTAATGTAATCACAAAGGTCCTCAGAAATGGAAAAAGGAAGAGGCAGAGTCCAGATTCAGAGAAAGGAAGGTGACCACTGATGCTAAGGTTGGAATGACAGGATTGCTGGCCAAAGGCCAGGAGCCAAGCAATGCAGGCTGCTGCTAGAAGCTGGAAAACGTAAGGAAATGATTATCAACTGCTTTACCCTGCTTAGTCTGTTCGGGCTGCTATAACAAAAATACCACAGACTGAGTGGTTTAAACAATAAACATTTCTTTCTCTCAGTTCTGGAGGTTGGAACGTCCGGGATCCAAGCACTAGTAGGTTCGGCATCTGGGGAAGCCCCGCCTTCGGGTTCACAGATGGCCAGTGTCCTCACATGGAGAAAGGTCCAGGAAGCTCTGTCTGCTCCCTTTTATAAGGGCACTAATCCCACTCATGAGGGCTCCACCTTCCTAACCTAATCAACTCCAAAGTCCCCATTATCTAATACCTTTGGGATTAGGAGTTCCATGTATACATTTTGGGGGACACAAACATTCAGTCTGTTGCATTCCCCTACAGTTCCCAGAAGGAACTGTAGCTCTGTCAGCGCCTTGATTTTAAAGTTATGACCTCTATAAGTGTAAGATAATAAATTTGTGTTATTTTAAGCCACTAAGATGGCGGTACTTTGTTATAGCAGCAATAAAAAACAAATATACACTCAGTGATGGCATTTTTATTTTTTAGTAATGATACACTAAGGAATCAAGTAGATTGCTACAATTGTATAAGTTATAGCTATACTCCTTTTGGATCATTTTCTACTGACTACAGCAATGGATAAAGATTTTCTTTTGAAAAGTTAGTGTGCAAGGTATATATGCAGATATGAATGCAGATATCTGTAAACTTACATTAAAAGGACTTTTTAAAATCCTAGCTCCACAATTAGCAAAGCCAGTGCCTAATCAAGTAAGTATAATCCTTTCTCATTACAGCTGTACAAAAGTACACAGAAGCCTCATCATTCACAAACAATATGGTTTAGGCTTGATGCAAATTTAAATTAATTTCTAGAATGTTGCCAATGTTGGCTGATTCTTCTGCTTTGTTTTCATTGTAACATTCATAATTTATCTTTCTAAAATTAGGTTTGTATAAGGAAACTGGTCTCATTAATTTCTAAACAAGGAAACTGTTTCAGAAGGCTTTTTTACAAATTGGGTTAATCTCAACACCCTAGGGCAACTGTGAGGGATTCCTGTCAAATGGTTGTTGGTGTTTTGCTGCTGACAACTGTTCTTGAAATACCATTTCTATCCTTTTGCTTGTAGTAGTTATAAATTTAAAAAATACCATAATTTGTATTCCAAGATCAAGGAAAACAGGCAATGAGAAAAAAAATCACTCCCAGGGTTCATACAGCCAAGACTTTTCTATACTAAAAATTATTTTATGACATAGAAGGCATGTTTTTTATGAACTGAACCAATTCATACTGAGGTCCACCACTGGCTTTGTAGAAACTATAAATCTATCTCAATATTTGCATTTATCAATACACATAAGAGTATTTTTGCTTTTGATACATAAATGGCACTAGGTACTCAATTTTAATTAAGGCTAGAGTATTTAACAACTTTATAATCAAATTAGTCCAATGATTTAAAACCAATACTTTTGGTTAAAATCAAAAGATAGCCCTGGCCAGTTTGGCTCAGTGGTTTGAGCATCAGCCTGCGGACCAGAGAGTGCTGGGTTCAATTCCTGCTAGGGGTACGTACCAAAAAAAAAAAAAAAATCAAAAAATAAATTTAGTATGTGTTTTATAATATACTAAATGAAAATTAACACATGTGTAGCCTGGCCAGTGTGGCTCAGTGGTTGAGCGTCGACCCATGCACCAAGAGGCTGCCGGTTCGATTCCCAGTCAGGGCATATATCTAGGATATGGGACCAATCCCCAGTGAGGGCATGCAGAAAGAGGCCAATCGATGCTCTCTCTCACAGAAGTTTCTATCTCTCCCTCTCCTTTCCTCTCTCTCTAAAAAAAATCAATAAATAAAAAAGAAAGAAAAGGACCTCACCTTTCTGTTTAAAAGAGGAGGAGAAAGAAAATTAACACATGTCTAAAATATAAGCACCTAAATATACAGTACCTGACCACCACAGCAGTGCCTGGGATAAATCATCTGCTTCCATAACAATTCACACATTTTGAAACAGTCCTTTAGAATCTAGTAGCTATTATTAAAGGTTCCAACCAAATCATAAAAAGACTATACATGTATTTGCAAGACAGACAGGAGGGTGTGAAAAAGGCTGTGTTGCTTCAGGAGAGAAATGATAAGAATGGAAGAAAGATTCTGCTTAGTAGTTCTTTTTTTTTTATCCTCACCCGAGGACATTTTTTGATATTTTGTTCAGATAGAGTGGGAGGGAGGGAGGAAGGGAGGGAGGGAGGGAAGGAGGAAGGGAGGGAGGGAGGGAGGGAAACATCGAAGTGAAAGGGACACATCGAGTGGTTGCCACCCACACGACCCAACCAGGGCTGGGGACAAACTGCAACCGAGGTACGTGTCCTTAGTGGGAACCGAACCTGGGTCTCTCCAGACCGCAGGCCAATGCTCTAACCAATGACCCAAACTGGCCAGGGCTGCTTAGTAGTTCTTAACCAACCCAGGAAGAAATTTAAAATGGTGGAGTGTAAAAAAATCATTTAGAAGTTAGAGAGACTTGAGTAACACTAATACACCGGCAAAGCTGTGGTAATGACTATATAAAAAGATGTCAGGATTACAGAAGAAAAATAAGACATGTTAGATCTAGGTTCTGAGAGAAGGCAAAGGGTTCTGTGCTCTGCAAAGTTAATCTTTTATTTTTTTAAATAAGAGGAAGGAAAACCAAACAACTCACTAAGCGACATACATTTTGGTGTAATGCTATCCTCAGCTAATCTCCAAATGAGCTGTGCCCCCCTGACTTCTCAATTCCTGTAAGTTTTATGGCTTAAGGAGATCCTGGGTAATGGGTTAGTTTTCACCTGTGCTATACCACTAAGTATGCTGGATGAAATTACTAAAAAACAAGTTGTATTATGATTGGCATTATTTACCATTGAACTATAACTAATGCTAAAAAGAAGGTTAGCAGAGCTTTCTAGTTATACTTACCAGTGGAAGGTAAAAGATGTCATGACTAAGTATGGTAGATGAAGTGAAAGTATTATTCTGATCAGGTTAGGAAGAAGGCAAACCTAATACTTTGGACAGAAATGGGAACTAGCAGACATTCTCTTGGGCTTTATATATTATTCAATACACAATGTCCAACTGTAATACAGTGCTGGGGAAAGTACTCTAAAGGAAGCAGACTCAGAAGACTCCTAAGTGCTGATTAGGCTTAGCCCTACTTGATTTATGAAATAAGCAACACTGTTGAAGAAAATAAAGCTGACCTTGATTAATAATATAGCACAAAATAAAATGGGAAATGCTTTTACGCAAAGTACTGCTAATAGAAAAAGAATGATGGTTTTCTTGCCACAGAATGTATGCTCGATGCCCTGTTACTTTATGGCAGAGACTGGCTGTACACATTTCCCCAAATCTTTGATCGTCTTTCAGTGTATTATGGAATCAGCTGAAATACATTATGTGCTTAAACCACCTAGTTAATAAAGTGGCTAAAACAGAACAAAACATATTCTAAAAAAAATAAAACCATTAAACATAATATAATGTTAAATTAAAATTTCCCT